TAAGACGCCACTGCTTTTCCCCCTTACAGATGTGATTGTGCCGATTTTGGTTCAAGAAGAGAGCAGCAGCTTGTGCAGCGTCTTGGAATCAGCTGCTGCGACACAGGTATTGTTTCAAGAGGCGCACGTTCTCGTTGTTATTGGCCGAGAGTGTGCGCCACTTGAGAAAATGTTGTGGGTGGATTCCTTTTCCGACGTTCCCAAAATGATACTTTACGTTCTAATTACAGCCTCCTGTTTTCCCGTCGACGGTGGATAAGGGCCTGGAGTTGCTAACGAAGTTGTTGGAGCTTGCCAGAAATGGAAAAGGCATGGTTGAGCACTTTCAGTTGCATCTCAGCCGAATCAGAGTAAGGAAATTAATATTCGATTAATTCCAAAAATCGACTCGTGTGTATGGCTCAATGTCCTTCGCGGTTTTTACTTCAGGAAACAGCTATGGGAATTTGGAGGACATCTTCATCGGCCAAAGCTCGCGTTGCCTGTATCACTCTGCTGTCGGAAGTGGTTGAGGCTGCTTACAAACTGAAGAAGATCAATGATGCTGGTCTGTCAGATGTCCTGAGTATCCTGGTCCCGGAAATCCGACGATCTATCAAGTCCGTTTCAGCCACAGGTAAGACCCAGGCTTAAATGGAACTCATAGCTAACAAAAGAATTTATTAGATGTCCCTGTTCCTTTGCAGTGAAATTCGCTGTCTACGGGTTTTGGGGTTTGGTGGCTCAGAAAGCTCCGCTCATCGCTTCGAAAGACGCAGATTCCATTGCCAGCATTTTCGTCAGCGAACTCAGGAGCGAGGTATACTTTGTAAGATTTTAGATTCGTCTATTCTCCCTATTTTTTGTAAAAAGTTATGATCATTTTTTAAGAAATTCTTTGTTTTATATTCGGAATCTACAGGCTTTTTCTTCCTTCTGCAGGAGCGAGCGAGGGATCCGAAACCGTTGGTTACTGCTGGAGCTCTGGAGGGTTTCACTGGATTTCTTTGCAACTTTGCCGGACTTCAGATCTGTAAGTATAGCTTGACAAGTCATTACCAATGAACATCGCGAGCTGAGAATAAGCTGTTTTACAGGTCTGGATAATATGGATCTGATTTTCAAGATAGTTCGAGAAGCTATCCAGAAAGACGATGTCAAGCGCTACGCGTTCATCACCGCGGCACTGGGCCTTATGTCGAAACACGCGGGCAAGTTCTCCAGGCAGATTCTCGGTCACAAAGGATACTACGCCCAGCTGTATAGCAGTCTGAAAGGCTGGGCCATGCACGGCAACCGTGAGGTCCAGAAAATTTGTGCTCGTGCAGTGGACAACTTTCTCAAAGAAGTAATTTTCAATCAAAGTTTCGTATTTTCCATCGGCAATAAACTGGACAAGATTGTTTTTTCCGAGTGGCGCACGTTCTCCACCAGTAACACTGACAATGTGCGCCATTCGGAAAAACGATCTTGTTTATCCCAGTGGCGCACGGTTCAGATTCTTTTTAGTCGAGAGCGTGCGCCACCTGGAAAAACGATCTAGTTTGCCAAGCTCCAGTCTTTATAATATTGTGATGTTGTTTTCATCGTTTTCTCTCAGGTTGCTCGCGGTATCGTGGTGAATCTCAATGCCCAAACGGACGTAGAGAACTCCACAGCAGCTTTCAAGTTCTTCATCGCAGAGTTCAACGAGAAGATCAAGAAGGCGGATAGTGCTCTAGACATGTCGGTGGCCATTCGCGGGTATGGGTCTTTCGCAGCACCTGCTCGGCTCCTGTCCTCTTCAGGAGACATCCTCCTCATGATCCATGAAATGGTTCAGAAAAGCGAACAGATGTTCTTTACAGCCGACGCTTCAGGTAATTCCTTGTAGCTGATTTCCCCAGTTGCTCACTCACCTGCGTACTCCGTCATCTGAAAGCACAATGATTGGGTGTATGCAGGTAGATGATCAGGTTTGAGGTCACACACTTGAATACTTGTGGTTACCGTGAGAGAGCGAGGCAGAGTATGCGGGTGAATGAACTGCTGTAACAGCTTTAAGGTTTAACGACCTGTTTTGTGTTTTCAGGTGATCGGCTGCACCATCTACCTGACTTCGTCGATACTCTGGCCAGTATGGCACACGATGTGGGCAGCGACGTTCCAGACATGTTCCTATTCGCCATCCAGAGGATGAGCGTCCTGATGGTTGAACAGTTCCCAAAGTTCGGACCTCCTGCGCAACACTACTGCTGTCGAGCCATCGTCAAAGTTATCATCGTCGTTAGCCGGTTCTCGTGCGCTGCCGACGATCTGATTTCCACCATTAGTAAGCAACGCGACTTCTACCAAAGTTGATTTTATTACTAAACCGAAAACCGCTCGTTGTCATTGCAGTCTATCAAGCATTGAGGAACTCGTGCTCCTATCCGGTACCTGAAGCCAACCCGGATGCTGCCAACGCTTCTCTAAAGAAGCCCACCACGTACAAAGACTTCCAGCCACTGTGGGAGAAGCTGCTTGGTTGCGAATACATGAAGGTAAGATTTGTGCTCTCGAAACAGCAGTTTTTAAAAGACCAGTGAAGATAATAGTTTTGAGAGACATGTACCTGCATACTCTCACATCATTTTGGTAATCCGTGATTCTGCAGGTAGGTGTGTGTGTATTGATGGTTTATTTTGTACCTACGCCTGAATTTCTGTGTTTGTTTTGACAGGAGGTCCTGAACGATCTGCAAGCCACTGAAGTCGAGCTCTACGGTGTCGCGAACATCGTTTTCGATGAGTTCGCCAAAGCGTCCCTTCGAATCCTCAAGCTTCTCAACTTCGACCTTCTAGACGTCTCACCTCTTACCGTTGACCCAACCTTCCCAGACGACTCTCCAACCTCCAACGATTTCCTCCCCATTGACAAGAAACCCTCCAACGAGCAAGACTTTCAGATCTTTTTCTCACTTGAACAAGTCACCAAAGAGATTTTCAAGAAAGTTAAGGCTGACTTTGTCGTAGCGTGGACGGGCCGTATGTCGCGTGAGCTGATTCTCTTGTCAGAGAAGCATCCGTTGGTCAGTGGCTTCTACAGGTTCCTGTCCATTTGGTACTCGTATCAGCGAATGCCAAAAGAGACGAACAACTTTGAGGAAGAGGTGGAGGATGACGGAGAAGGTTGGTTGGCGAAGGAGGAAGATGGGGTGAAGATGAAGAATGAAGATGTGCAGATGGTGGACGGCGAAGTGAAGAGTGAGGATGGAGGTGGTGACGTCACTGCGGCGCTGTTCCTGCAGAATTTGATTGGAAGAATTCAGCACTTTTCTGATGAAGTGTTGATTTCGGCGCTGCATCTGATACTTGACTTTCCTGTCAATGTCATCAGAGATAATCTAAGTAAATATTTTACTGGAAAGTTCTATCTGATGGGCCTGAAAAACACATTTCGAAAAAAACTCGACCAGATCGTTTTTCGTTGCACGATTTCCAGCAGAAATCACCAAACACGTGCACCGCTTTGGAAAACAAATATGACAAGATCGCTTTCCTAAGTGGCGCACCGTTGCAGCTCATGTTACCCTATATGTGCGGCACTTCGGGAAACAATCTTGTCCAGTTGTATGTCGAGCTTTCAAATTATAATATTTTCTACCTAATATTTTTTTCCATGTTGTTTTCAGGCAGTCTTCCGAATATTCTGGTGCTGGCTTTACAAACCGGCAAGAGTTTTCTGCCGTTGACCGAAGCGACGGTGAAAGCTCTGGAGCGCTGGTGTTTTCACAGTTCGATCGAGAGGTCCTTGCTCGACGGTGTCATTGCCAAGTGCCTGCCGGTGCTGGATGACTACTTGAGAAGTACAACGTTGGACGTCAGTGAGCGTAGTGAAGTGCTGGGAGAAGGTTCGGGAAAGCGAAGAAGGAAAGCGGCCAAGGTGACGGTCGTCTTGGGTGGGGACGATGTGGCCTTGACCAGAGTGAGGGAAGCCGTGATGAGCTTCTTGGGACAACTGGGGGGCGGGTATAACCACCTGTTGCTCGAGGGAGAATATATGGAGAACGTCAAGAATTTGGCCATTGTGTGGGACATGCAGAAACATCTTCAGTTTCAGGTGAAAATAAAATAGCAAAAAATCAACGCTATGGTGGAGAAATAGAAATAAATTTGTGTTGAACCGTTCGAACGTTAGAAGTTTTGGACTGAACATGAAGATCAAAAATCTTTCTTAAAGTTGAATCTTTCTGGCGGGTTTTTTCCAGGTCCCCTTCATCGATATGATACTGGGCAACTTCTACCTGGACGACTTCCTACCCAGGCTGACCGAGCTGTGCCTTCACGATCCCGATCGATCGACGAAAGTGGCAGCCTGTGAACTACTCCATGCTGTCACTGTCTTCCTGATCGGCACTCATGCGAACACTGCAGCAGGTGAAACAACACGAATAGTTTTACAATTTGTGTAGGAAAACGAGAAACCTAACCTTCAAGGAAGGTTTGGTTTAGTAAATATCTGACCTGTACCAACATCAGTTCCTTTTGCTGTTTCTATCATAATGTGGCAAAGAGATTCTCCGGCGTGGTAGAAACGCGGAGCAAAGACGCTGCATTTTTTTAGAGAACAGCGGAAAGAAATCGCTGCTAACACTGCTGCAGAAGCTGATGCCGAAGATCATCGAACTGGCCTGCGACGTTGAACCCGTCACCAAGCAGCTCTTTGAGCCGCTCATCGTTGAAATTATCCACCACTTCTCACATCACGCACAGAAGATCGAGGGGGAAGTCGGCGTCGTTCTGGACTGTCTGATGGACGGGCTGGTCACCGAGCGCAACCCGACCATCCGCAGCTTCTGTGCGCGGTGTGTCAGCGAGTTCCTCCAGTGGTCGGCCAAAGGTTCCAAAGTCGACCCCACCAAAGGATCCAAGGTAATCGCACAGATTTATTTTTGACCAGAAGCATCTAAAAACTTGAAAAATAAAATGATTGGTTTTCCCCACGGAAAACAATGTGAAAGCCAAAATTTGATGGAGTTGACTGAAAGAGCGTAAAAATATAGCCAACTGGGAGGATCGAACTCCCGACATCTTGCTTACTAGGCAAGCGCATCTACCGCTGAGCTAAGTCGGCGCTTCTGTCTACACGGGTTCACATTCGCAGACGAGTTGTTTTAGTGTTGATCAGATTACTATTTCTCCCCGTCGGCGTATTTTGATGACTGATGTTAAATTACATGCCGTATTTTGATATTCATCTTGATATTACACTGTCGCACGACTCTCACAGAATTTTTCTCCGAATGAAATCATTTGCGGAAGTAATTATGGGAGCACGGCAAAGGAATTTGACAAGATCGTTTTCCCAAGTGGTGCGCTTTTCCAGCCAGTTCTACTGAAAACGTGCGCCGCTTGTGAAGATGATCTCGTCGAGTGACTCCAGTCTATCTGCCGGGCTTCTAAATACTTATTGGAAATCAAGAAAGCGGTTCGGATATGAAAACCAGCGCGTTTTCTTATGCAGGCTATCGGGAATTCGCCTCCGCCGGTGGCTTCTGTTTCCCTCTTCGAGCGGATCATCAGCTTCGCCGGACATTCCAGGGCCGCCAAACGTTTTGGCGCAGCTCTGGCCTTTAACAACTGCTACAGGCTGTTCCGCGACGACTCTGTCTTGGTCGACATGTTCACTATCAACTTGATCGTCACATTCGTGAAGTCCCTCGCTTGGTCCCACATGGACATTCCAGGCTTCGGCGCGGACAAACTCACCGCGAGCTGTCTTGACCACCTGGCGCGTATCGTCGAGAAGTACGGGAAAGATCTGAACAAAACTGCCTCACGCAGAACCAAGATACCGGAACTGAAAGAAGCAAGGTAAGATTCTGTCTCACCCGAGTGTCGAATGTATCGAGAAAATTAAATGTACCTAAAATTCAGCTGAGAGGCCGAAGGTCGAAAACGAACTCGACAAAACCGTCGGCCTGAGTGGCGCATGTTTATAGCTAGTATCAGGTGCGGAAGTATGACTTGTTACTCCCCCGACGAAGGTTTTTCAAAATTTCTCCTGGCTTCGAACCTCGGAATTTTTGATTAGGTTATCCACTCATACTAGCAAGGTACTTCAGTCACTTTTTCGGCATCGTGTTCGTGCCTGTACTGTAAGAGAATAGGGGAAGAGAAACGATAAAGTCTCGGTAGCCATTTTTGGTAGCCTCTGCGGAAGACATTGTTCTTTCTCGCTGGAGGTGCTGAAATCCTGCGACATAGTGTAATCCTTTGGTATCAGAACCCCTCTTCCTGGTATACGAAGGAGAGTTTCCAGTTCCACCTCCTGTAGTTTTGCGGAAGCGTTTTATTCAGTGTGCACTCTAGAGCTGACTTGCAACAGTAGTGCTTTGAGTTGACCGAAAGATTTCGTTCAGTCAACGGCAAGTTTTTTTATCATTCTTCCCCGTTCCAGACAGGTTTAGTCTGCAGCTATAGTTATGCCGGGCGGAAGAATTTTTCAGCGGTCTAGACTGTCAGATAGCAATCATTAGTAACCATAATTTTCCTATGGTGCCGCGCTCGATTCGAAATTTCCTGCGGTAATTCAGCTCTTCCGAAACATTCCAATTTTTGCTACAGATCGACCTACAGAGCCCGGTCTTTGTCACTAGTAACAATGTAATCTGAGGATCAGTTCGGTGTCACTCAGAAACGGGAGGTTACGGACAGGCAAAATTTGCGTTCATCGTACGGTGCGCGAAGTAAGCGGGGTATCAAACTCTTTGATCTTTTCCCCTTCGGGTTATGTCTAAATATCCAGCGAGGATTTTAGGAAGACACTTCAAACTTTTTTAAAGGGTTTGCAAGAGTTCGGGAAGGATCGAAGTCGACATGCTCCCTCTGGACGTTGTTGTCCAACTTCAGTTGCGGTCTTCCCAAGGGGTGACTTCCGACCTAGGAATCTCCAGAGCGGAGAAGACGTACACAACCTCTTACGGTTCAACCGTTAGCTGCTTCATTACGACAAACGAAGCATATCTTAGCGCCTGTCTGGGATACGCTGACGCCTTGAGAAAATTCGAATAGTTGAATCGCCTAAAATTTTGGTTATCTATGATTCCGACAAAACTATTCCTGCCCTACCCCGAAGCTGAGAAACTTGGGTTAACAGAACGATAGCTAGGAGTTGAAAGAGTGAGTGGAAAAAAGGCTCAGGACAAACGGACAAGGGGGAGTGTAACTATGAATTTTTGAAGTTGACTTGTTTCCAGGAGTAACAAGTCATACTTCCGCACCTGATAGCATTGGAAACTTGCGGCACTTCGGAAAAAAAATTCTGCAAGATTGTTTTTGTTAAAGTGGCGTATGTTTACAGCCAGTAACATCGACAAGGTGCGCCACTTGGGGGAATAATCCTGTCTTGTCTGTTTGCCGAGCTTCCAGTTGTGATATTTTGTTTGCGTATGGGTTGATGAAAAGCAGTCGAAAAATCTGTACACAACTGATATCTTCGCAAAAATATAAAATGAAATTATTTCTTGTATGTAGGTTGGACTTTCTGGTCGACTGGCTGCTCCTACAAGCTTGCCGACCCGAAACCGCCTGTCGCATGAAATGCTGGCAGTTGGTTGATCGGTTCGCCAAGGCCCTGAAGTCTTCTACTTCCGCCGCGCCATTCTTTGATGAGCTGATTAGATCGAAGAATCCAGACTGGCTGACCAAAGCTTTCCTCAACGGCGGTAACAACCCAGACGACGAGAACAACTCTCAACTCTTACAGCCCGCAGATTTCACAGTGACTTTGAAAGAGGAAGGGCTGTTAAGACCACAACTGAACCCTTTTGAACGACTGGCAGCGACCGTTGACTGCTTCGCTTTGGTGTTCATGCATCGATACATCAACCCGAAAACAGTCTGTGAGACCAAACAGTGGGAAACATTCGGAAGGATAGTCAAGGTATATCTTGAAAAATTCATGGAAGGGCTCAGTGAGGAAAAGATGGACGTTGATGGGTTGGGAAAACTGACCACCGTCGAGCAGAAGAAACTCACAACAATCATATGTACGATTTTCATTCGTTTGACAGACCTCGTTACTGTTATCGTGACGAAACACGGCGCGGAGCACCTACCGGAAGTGTTATCCGGTAAAGAGTTCGCTGAGGTTTTGGTGAGAGCGACCATCGATCCGACCTCAGTCGGCTTCGATTTGGGCGACAAGGAAGTAGCCAAAAGCTTGCTGAACCAGCTGAAAGGTGTTTTGGTAGCTTTGAATGGTGTTAAGAAGAAGAAAATTAGTTCGTTGGTGGAATGTGCGACGAAGTTACTTTCCATTGAGAGATACGATGTGGTGAAGATGGTCGAAGTTGAGAACACCGACTTGACTTCGACGTTGTCAAGCGGCTTCGTGGTGTTACATGAATGTGGGCTGACGGAAGGATATCTCAAACACCAGCGTCGTTCGGGTGACGAAGTAGGGAAGATGATGATGAAGACAGTGTTGACTTTGCTGGCCAGAATCTACCAGAATTCCGGAAGCAGGAAAGAAGCCTGGGTTTCCGCTGACGTGAAGTTAGAACGCGCCATCTACGCCATGGCCTTAGTCCTCGAACCCGAAATGAACGTCCACCTCGACTTCATGTTGACATCGGCGGATGGTCGGGACGTAATGTACCCGAAAGTGAGGACGGTGTTGTTTGGACATGTCTTCTCGGAGGAAGCGGTGAAGGGGAATAGGGTGGAGGTGTTGGTGGAAGGACTGATGGGTGGAGAGGTTCTGAAGGTGAAGGGAAGGGAGGAATGGGCGGTGTATGCGAGAGTGGGCAAAGAGATGCTGGAGTATGTGCTGAGGAATAGGATGGTGAGGAAGAAGCATGGGGAGAGGGTGACGGACGTGACGATAGAAGCGTTTGGGGGGTTCCTGGAAAGGTATCCGGGAGATTTGGTGGAAGAGACGGATGATATCAGGGTAGCGCTGCAGATTCTCAAGATGCTTCTGGTGACCAATACAAAGGTAAGCTGGCCGCTCCGTTCTGTTGAAACTACACGGTGATCACGCCAAGTGACTACCACCTCATGATATTTATGGCGCTCTCGACTGCGTGTGGGTTGGACCTCAGAACTATTTTTTCTTAATTAGATATCCCTGTTGCTGCCTTCTAGAAAAACCTGGCCAGAAAGAATCTCTGTACGAAGTCGAAATTCGTCCTGAAACCAGAGAGGGTAGAACCTCGTACCTGCTCCGGAGCGAACTTTTCACTGTTCTGCACATTTGAGCCAAAAGTGCCGATCACAAATTGTTCAACAGTAGTCTGGCTTCCGAGGAAAATAAAATGCTCTTCTGCATACTTGTTGATTCATTGATACAACTGTTGTGGCGAAACTGAGCAAAAATACATGGTGCGCACCTGAAAACAAGGTTTCTCGAAATGGTCTGGGGGGTTTTCCGGTAAGTAAAAGCATAAACGGAAAGCCAAATCATTTATCTCTCTGAATCCAAAAACTTTTGGATATACTTGAGAAAAATTGTGGGGGAAGACTTTTCGCGAAAAGTGGGTTCGCAAGAATCGGCAGCTTTTCAAGATTTGAGAGAATTTCAAAAAATTCTCATCCAGTTGACTGACAAGGACTTGCAATTCGGACACCCAATAGAATTAGTCCAAGAACAGAGCTACACGACAAGCGGTTGTAGGTGCAGGCAGTTGGGTTAAAACATAAGTCTTAATTTTTTCCACGAGGAGTGGTTTCCCCGCAAAATGATCAAATTCGACGATCTTTATTCCTTTATTAGGTTAGCTTGACTTTCTTGCGATCTTTTTTATTTTTGATAAGACCCGGGATAGTTAGACCTCCGTTAAAATCAGATTGGCGTGATCACCCTGTATATGTTTGTGTGTCGGAAATTTTTAGGTCAAAAATTCGCTGTCGTTCAGTTTGCTCACAATATGGTGCTACATTTGCACTCCATTGAGCTTTCTGTTTCTCATTTTGATTGATCACAGAAAAGCTGGCAGCATACATGATCGTTATCCCAAGTGGCAAACGAAGTTATTCCTATTCGCTGGAAGTGTCCGCCACTTAGGAAGACGAACATGTTTAGGTCATTTGCCGACGTCTCAACACTTTAAAGACCACGCAATTCCGAGC